GGTTCGTGTTCTTCATAGGAGACACAGCTTTCACTTGGATGTCAAAGAAACAACCAATTGTCACTCTTTCTACTTGCGAAGCAGAGTACGTGGCTGCAACCTCATGTGTTTGTCATGCAATTTGGCTTCGAAATCTATTAAAGGAGTTAAGTTTACCACAAGAAGAGGCGATTAAGATTTATATTGATAACAAGTCTGCAATCGCGCTAGCAAAGAATCCTGTTTTCCACGATAGAAGCAAACACATTGATATGCGTTATTACTACATCAGAGAATGCATGGAAAGAAAGGAGATACAAGTGCAGTACGTGAAGTCTCAATACCAAGTTGCAGATATTTTTACCAAGCCACTCAAAAGTGAAGAAATAAAATTATTGTGTAGTAGGTGTGATAGGTGTGGTAGGTATTGAATTATTGTGTGGTAGGGGTGAAATTATTTGTAACCATTGGATTGAAATTGTGGTGGCACAATCCTAGCCATTAATTTAGGAGGTGTCACTAGTATAAATAGGGGTGGAGTCTTTGAGTTTGTATCAAGTCAAGTAAAGGTGATAAATAAGAGTGAAACTTCTTCCATAAGTTGTGTTTTTAGCCTTTGTCATTTACTAAAAGTTTTTCCATTTCAACACAACCTCTACTCTCAAAACATCCACAAAGGCGTCAAGAACAATGAACTTATAATAAGCAGAGATGAAAAACCTCAGCAAAGATAACGAGGGCGGAAAAAGCAGGAGCGATCTCCCAAACAAAGCCGGTATTGTCGGAGAACCACTCGATGTCACCCTCATTGCCGCAATAGAAGAATATGGGGGACGGCGGTGTCCAGAGGCCGGCTGAGGGTCCGACAAGGTACCTCTGCTTGAAGCCGGGAGCCTCGGCGAAGCTGAAGTGGTCCAATCGCTGATGGAAGTAGCGCGTATCGTACTTGGAGGCGTGATGGGTTGCAGCGGCATGGTTTCGGAGTCTGGAGCCGGCGGATTGGCCGGGGAATCGTGGAATGTGCGGAATGGAGGCCGATTCCGCCGCGGTGATGACGAAGATGATCATAACAAAAAGGGGTTTCATCTTGGGAGAGTATGGTTCTCGGTGCAGCAGCAGAACTCAAAACTTTACATTTGGGAGTTATATAACACACACAAAATCTTCCTAACCTCCCTGTAATGAAAAAATATATTATCTCAGCAGATACATCAATACTTTAATGAAAAAGTGTCACTTAACATTATGATGGGATCATGGAATACTGATGCATCAGTATATTTATTAAATTTATTCTAATTAAAAATTAAAATTTAAATAGGTCATCCTTTAATTTTGGGTTTAATGAGATAATTACTTGCATAGCAACCAAGATATTACTATTTATAAAATTAAATTGAGCAGCCATATGATATTTTCAAACTTCTAAATCAATCATTCATGTCGATCGCGAACAATTTTTTAAGATTCGAATAATAATGAAAAATAGGTTTGGATTTTATCATAAATTTTGATATTTGAGTAAGAATTTGAAAATTGAATGAAAGAGGGTGGTTGGTTTGTAAATAGCAAGTTTCGGGTGGTGTGGATGTAATGTCCCCAGAATTAGGTGTTAGATGTGTAAAGACATAAGAATTGTGTGGTATAAAATATTGCACGTGCTTTCATTTTTCAAATAGTTAACTCAATTTAAAAATGCACGAAATAGTTTTTATATAATTTGAGTAATTTTAAAAACAATTAAACATTTTTAATATATGAAAATATTTTATTTTGAGTGAAATAAAAATTAAAAATATAAAAAATAATTAAAAAATAAAAAATAATCAAAAAAGACATATATGATTTTTATAATATTTTACAAAGGTTTCCTTATATTCGAGCGAATTTATTTCAATTCATTTTTTCAACCAAAATACTCTGAATAGAAGTGTGAACGGCTTGATTTCGACTTAAAATCAAATTTAATGCATATAAGCTCGCTTGATTTCAAGTCTTGGCTTGAATTGATTATTTTTTATTGTTCGAGAAAAAAGAAGATATGATTGTGTGAGTTATCCCAAAAATAGGAAGGAAGCTCTTTTTAAAAAATATTTAAAAGGGAAGAACTTTTAAAAATTATATGATTAGTTTTTATTTCGTTTCTTAGCTTCATAACTCATTACTTACGAAATCAAAATTTGACATTTATAATGAAATAATTCATTCCTCATTCACAATATGATACTTGGCCATATCAATCAGGATTTAAATTAAATAGCATTTAATAAATACGATAAATTCAGATTTATCAAATCTAAATAAAAATAGTTGCTTCAAATAAGATTAAATTCCGTTAAATCCATTTGATGTGTTTGACATAAATTTATTTGAATTTTTTTTTTTCTAAGCTAAATCAGTTAAATTCAACTATTAAGTGGATTCAATAAATCTACATTTAATAAACGAAATGAGGAAAAATAGAATTTACATTTATCTAACATTTTTATGGTGTTTGGTTGAATTTACGTTAAATCCATAGTTAAATCCTATTAAAAGTATCGTACCAAATAGCCCCTTAGAAAACTAAAAAACTGACACTTAGTTAAACTAAATAACTTGTTAATTGCTCACTGCATAAAATACATTTGTATATTGAGCAATTATACTTTGACACTCAATATTTAATCTCACAACTAACAATTTTTGTAATTAGTCTTGAATTCACTAGTCAACAACACAACTCACTAGTTTTGGAACTTGGATTCTACATTGATGCATTGATAATTCATTCACTTTACATAATGTTGTGTTTGGTTATTTTGAGCTTGGAGTACCAGCTTGTCTGATTATGGTCTTATAATTCTTCTTTCCAAATAGCCCTCTTATTAGAACCATCGAGATGATTCAGGGAAGGAAGAGAACTTAGAAGAGGAGGAAATAAGACAAGACCAAGGAAACAACTTCAGTAAAAAAGAACATGGAGAACTAACATAAGGTTATCCCCGTACGATAGGTCAAGAGTATAAGTCTAAAATAAGATCTTTTTAAGACACCTTGAAGCATGTTTCACGAAGAGCCCCCTCTGCCAGAGAACCAAAACTAAATATTAAGACACCTTGATGCCTCCATAATGAAGAGAGAAAAGTGGTCTTGCTATAAAGCTGAAACACTCTCACAAAAGATTTATACCTTGTTTGGTTCAAAGAGTTCTATCACGTTAAGTACTCTAGACAACCACCAAGATAAAAAGCTATGCTTTGCGCTAGTCAGGTTGAAGAAGTATGAAGGTTCCTCCTCGGGAAATGCAGAATGATATAGTTGTCTAATTAAATCCTATTGCAGAGACCATAGAGACCATATTAAGTATGAATTGGGTGATATTCATGCATACAAACTCATTTTAAAAATGCTGAAAAAGTAAAATAGAATTTAAAATGATGATATTTTTATCCTACATTTTGATTAGTCTTAATACTTTATTATTAGTATTTTGTAGAAAAATATAATTTTGTAGCCTTAAAGAGCCCAAGTTATATTCAGTGAACTTCCCAGATAAACCACAAACTTAAAAAACGGGAATTCAATACACAACATACGATAAATAAATTATACTAATAAATAAAATAAAAAAAAAGGGTACTGCTAGGTCAACAACATATCTCAAAAAGCAAGAAAACAGTCATGATCTTCATATATATAGATATATATGTGTGTGTGTGTGTGTGTGTGTGTGATCCAAGTGCTATACATCAATATTAACTCAAAATCAACGTACATGACAAAAGCCCCTACTCCTAGTCCTCGCCATGTGGTTCCTCTTATCGAGTGCCTCAAAATTCATACCTATACCTTATATTCGATACAAACTTGATCCTAAAGACTCGAAAAGAAAATACATAATAAAGTCCAAAAAGAAAGTCTTGATTTGCAATAAAAAAATGATAGTATAAATTTATTTACATGTAATGTAGTGAACCAAGCCCTGTGAAAGGAGAACTAAGTAGCACCTACAAAAATTATATTAGCTTAAGTGGACATGACTTTCAGTAAGAAAACCATTCTAATATATTAGTGTGCATGTCTTAAACCCAATAAACACACAACGGTATAACACAAAATGTCTAGCCAGGGTGCAAACAAAGAAACAATAGCCAGAATATAAAAACCTTAACTACACCCTACCCTATGCTAGTAAACATATAAAACAAGATTGTTATAACACATACATATAAGTGTGCGAAAAGTGTGGCTAAGACTAATATATATATTTGACAGGGGTGTCATACTCAACCCCATTCTAAGTAACAACAAATTCTAACATACGCCACAAAATATGAAGAATTTACGCAAGTAGAAGCTTTAAAGAATTCAATCTTACATATGGTTAAATTTATGGATACATCAATCTCAAAATAAGTTTTAAGACATGATTAATATTAATAATAAAAAATATATATTTATATATATTTTAAAAATAAGTCATAAGAAAAGAATAGCCTAAGTTGATATGTTATACCTCTTTCAACCTTTGCACAAACACACACATGTTGGTCGCAATGTAATAATTTGTATTATTTGTTGAGATATTCTTACGAGCAATGCTCATTATGGCATCATGACCAATAACTAGTCACCCACCTAATAAGGTCAAATTGTCATTAAGACAAAATAGGTAATGTGCATGCAACATGCATTACTTAACATACTATGATCATTTTATCGAGGTGTGAATAATCACGAAAGATATGATAAAGGTTGGATCTGATGCAACTGCTCTATCAGGGTATGGACAACAACATTGGATACCAAAAAGTGAATTAGACATGAGCATCATACGAGGAAGACAATCACATCTTACCATATGTACGAACACATGTGCATCGCTCATTCAGTGCGATCGTACAAGGTAAACGACTGCACACGAATAAAGGCAACTATAGGGTTATGTCGAGATGCAATCACACTTGGTGAAGTAACGGTATCCATATAATCGAAGATACCCGAGCAAGATCATATGCTAGGTGATTACGATCCGCATAGGGAAAAAAAGGAGAAGTGCTGGTGCTAGATGGCTAACCGCTCGAAGTACCACACATTCGTCATGGGCATACAATGACATATCCTCGATGATGGAAATTCATGAACGTGCAAATGTAAGTGTGAAAGATACAAAATGCATGTGACTCACAATCTGGGTACATCCTGTATCAGACAGTCCCAGGGGGATTTTACCCCCGCCCGAGAGGCATCCCAAATGCAAATGCAAATGACACGCATAAACTACACCATATGAGATAACATGCACAAATGATGTTAAGTTTGATTGTATCGAGGAAAAGACACTCCAATAAAAATTACACCTCACCAGAAGGGCAATAAGAAGTTGAAGTCATTATCTTTGGATTTTGTTGGCAACTGGTGGTGCTCTTGTTGGTTTTATTAGAAGTGTTCCACGAGCCTCATCATCACTATGGTGACTTCTTATTTAGGAAGGCCACATACTTGATGAGGCTAAGGTTGCAAATAGAGCCCTATATAGCCTTTTTTAACCATTCTAGTTGGTAGTTGCGCGCAAAATTGCTGTGAAAATTATTTAGTGGCAGAGGCTATGAGACTGGGGTCTTCTGGTCACTTGGGAGGGTGAAAGGCTTAATTTTTTTACTTATAATGGAATCGAGGATATTTACAATTTATTTTTTATTTCTTACCAATTGTAGCCGATAAGTAATAAGATCAGGAGTCGGTATATATTTATGCCAAATGTACTTTCTCATATGCTTGTTGTAATAAAATTTTGATTTTTTTGGATTAGTCTTCCTTCCTTTTCTTCCTCATTTATGTGTTATTTTATATTTCCATTTATTTGTGTTTCTCGATATGAATATGATTATAAACTTTTTTATTCCAATTTTGAGAGAGTTCTCTGTCTTCCTCATTTATGTGTTATTTTATATTTCCATTTCTTTATGTGTTTCTCGATATGAATATAATTATAAACTTTTTTATTCCAATTTTGAGCGAGTTCTCTCAGTCTTATGTGTGAGGGGTTTTCTAGGTTTTTCACTTCCTCTGATGGAGCTCATCATCCTCTGTATGCAAATCTCACATGATGACAATACTTCTATTTTTATTCTCACATTAATGGGAGCATAAATTAAGGTTATTCTTAGTGAAATCGCTTATGGATTCAAAGTTAGATAATATTTTACTTCCTTAAAATATTAATGATTATTTAACTTATAATAAATAATGGAATTAATAATTATTCGTAAAATATTAATGATATCATATTTTAATTTAGTATTATTAAATATATAATTTTATCACTTCTACTTAATCAAATTTTATTTAAATAATTTATCATATATGATATGAGATAACATCAATCTTAATAACAAGTTACTTATTGAACAAGAAATGCTTTTTTTTTTTTTCTATCATAAAAAAAAAAAATACTTGATTGTGCTTAATTTTGATTCATTTTACTTTCAAGCATCCTAATTTATTAATTTATTGATATAAACAAACTTGATCGAGTATTAATTGAGCCAAATTTAAGTTGTTCGTCGAGTGCATTGCTTCGTCTAAAGCCCTCCCAATTGTCATAAAAAACTCGAAAAAGAAAAATCAGAGTCTTTACATAAAAAAAAAAAGGATCTTTATATGTAAGAGAAATGCATAAATATACAATAGAGCTTTTTTTTTTCTTTTTTTTTTCCTTTTAAAGAGCAAAACACCATCTCATTCACTTCAATATTGCCATCTATAAGTATCTAATGATGATTGCTAAATACTTAATCACCATGTAAAGCTTAAGGAATTGTAGTGCAAATTCTCAGCATTGTCAGCAGTGCAAATAGCTGCCACCTCGCGACGCAATGAACTTGGACCGCTCGCCATCACCCCAATAGCACTTGATTTTTCACCAAACTCCAATAGCAACTCTGCAATCACAGAACACACAAGTTCTCAACTTTCAAGAAACTTTAGGATAATAAAAGGAACATTTAAATACATAGTCAACTTTTACATATTTGGATATCTAACCCCTACACATTAATTTTTGGGTAAAACTTGAAAAGATGTAATTCTCTTTTTAGAAGTTAAAATGATGCTATTTTTTGATATGATAATGAAATTTTAGGTGTGATACATAAATAGATAAAAATTGGGTGGTATGCATATAAATGCCCAATGATAAAACCAAGAACAAATTGTAGCTAACTAAAGTTTTTATTTTGGTGCGGTGACATTTTGAAAACGCATCTGGTCTGTTTGGGTAAACTGCGTTTTGACAGCTTATGCGTTTTCAAAACGCTGAAAACAGCGACTTTCTGACTGCGGTCTAGCTTTTTCAAAAAAATAAAAATAAAAAGTTGTAATAGTCATCGCACCTAGCTTATCGACAGATTATTTTTAATCAGCTTATCAGCAGATTATTCAATAAACTGCAGCTGCCCAAAACAAACCCTAAAACATAAGAGGCATTTACATATATATAACCAAATTTCCATGTATTTATATTTCTAACACTTGATTTTTTTTTTTTACATTTATTTCACCCAAATCTTTCATATCATATCTAAAACATCATCATTTTAAAAAGTGAAATACATCATACATAAAATTTAAAATTTGTTCTTAGATATGTAAATAGATAATATTTTTGGGTGTAAATCTTCCAAAAAAAAAATATATTATACTTAATTTTAATTTTTTTTCATCATTTCTATCCTAGTTTTCAAGGATAAGAGATGAAGCAGCTTACTTTTAAGATTGGGTCTTTCACCATAATGGACCTTCAAGGCTCCCAGCAATGCCTCACTTTCAATCTCACCGCCAACCGCCGACGTCATCATCACCGGCGCAAGCGCGTCAGTCATTCTCACCGGCATCAACTCCTTCTCCGCTTCCTTGCAATTCATATTCTTGTTCCACAGAACAGCAAATCCAGCCATGACGGCAATGCACCAGAACATGATCAGCAAGTACAGCAATGCCATCTTCGTATACGAATAGACTTCGTAGGTGTTGTGATCGATAGGGTATATGTAGTACCGCGTGAGTATGCCGATGAGGAAGAGGAAGGCGAGGAAGGAGGATGAGACGACGGCGGCAAGCCAGAGCCAGCCTTTGGGGCCGAGAACGGGAGCCACGGCTCCGTCGGAGGGGTTGGGGTTTAAGTATATGGAACGGATGCCAGGCTTCATGGCTTCGGGGTCATGGGGCAGGGGAGGTTGTTGCTCCCGGGTGACAAAGGCCAGGACTTGGAGCTGGAGCTGGGAGAAGTTGGTGGTGGTGGACATTGGGAGGAGGAGGTGGAGCACGGTTAGATCAGCGGCGGTTTTGAATGTGGAGATTAGGAGGACGGTGGGGGTTTTGTTGGAGGGAGTGGAGCTGTGGTGGACTAGTTCCCGGATTATGGAGATGAAGGGGGTGATTCCGCTGCCTCCGCTTACGAGAATTAAGGAATCATAGCTGCAAAAACAGAGTTTCTTAGAGGTGAGTTGGGTTATGATTTGCAGTCGTCCGTGATGATTTCTAACATGTTTATGTTGGGTCTAAGGGTCTGTTGCAGGGAAAATTATTGCATCAGCACTTAAATTTGTGTCTGGTGTCCAATAAAAGAGTGTCACGATCCAAATTACCACGCGACCCCTGTTATTGAATACACAAATTTGCATCAGGTGTCCTGATAAAATAATTTCTCCTCCGACAACGGATTTAAGCGTGGCATTTAATATGAATGTATGTTAAATTTTGTCCAACGAATATTTCAGACAAAATAAAAATATGGATTTGATAAATTCAGATTTCACGGAATTCGACTGTGAATTCTAGATTCATTGAGATTTATCTGAACGTAGACAAAACTTTTTAAACAATTTTAATGAGTTTATCGGATTTACGAGATTTCATTGCTAAACAGATCTCGCGATTTAACTCATTCAAGATTTAGTAAATCCATAACTTAAATCTCTTCCATTGCCTACCGTCCCAAAAAGCACATCAGCATTTCACATTATAATATTAAAAAAGGAATATTTTGATGAAGCTTTCAACGATAAAGAACATTTTTTTCTTACTCTCGATGCACAAAAATGAATTTTTCTAGCACTTGGAGGCTTAGAGTTTCATGAGAATGTTATGATGAGAAATATAGAAATTAGGATGCAACTCATTTTTCTCTCTGTTCTTGTGATCACAGGGGAACGAATTCAATGTCAAATATTATTGTTGTGTGAATTTCTTAATTTCTACATGATTTTCACATAACAAAAAGCTCATTAATTGCATGGTGAAATTGGAAGCGAAATGGTACCTTAAAAAATCTATGGATCCCGGGCTATACGGCCCTTCGACTGCAACCTCGAGGCGTTGCAGAGACGGCTGGGACAGCAACTCAAACAGCTTCTGAGTCCACCTCCCATCCTTCTTTATAACAACACTCAGATTCTCCGGCTCCAGTCCGGCGCTCGAGCTAACCGTGAATGGATGCCATTGCAGCGACGAAATACTCGGCACCTTGATGAAAACCACGCTCGTGGGTTTGTAGCTGAAACCTGAAACAAATGTTCATGATTCATTTGAACGACATTGTATCCAAAATTGAAGTTTTCTCACCAGGAGCCTTGGCGAAGTTGAGTTCCATGGCCTCGGATTGAAGGAGCCGCGCAGAGAGCAATCGGACCCTGCGCCGGGATTGGAGAAGGCGGAGGAAGCGGTCGATGATGAAGAGGTAGACGCCGGGAAGGACGAGGCAGAAGGTGGCGAAGCTGACGTGGAGAAGGTAGAAGAACAGGAAGGGGATGTACAGGTAGTGTGCGTAGAAGAAGAGTTCGAAGATGGCGCGCCGAATGCGGGGGAAGGTGACAGCCCACATTGCCAAACCGCAAACCAGAGCTGCTTCTCCTGCTACGTTTGAGACGCCAATTCGAGCCCATTTCAGCAACTGCAATTTGGGTAATGTTCCACTGCAAGTTAGTGTTTTTTTAACTAAATTTTGAATCTTTTCATGATTGTTTGCTCTTATTTGATCAACATTCAACCCATGGAGGGCGGGAAAAAATATTACATAGGGAGTTAAATGGTGACATCACATGCCATTATATTGTGGTGGGGCCTATTTGACACATGATGTCACATCATTGGACTCCGGATGCAAATTGAGCGTCCGGAATCCGGATGTAATATTTTCTCTAGAAGAAGAGGTTCAAAGTTCAATGTTAGGGATTTGGGGGAACCGAAAGTGGAACATGATGACATCATAAGCATAATAAATATTAAACATGATTAAATGACCTAATAATTAGACGTAATTGGGTATGAAGATTAACAAGAGGAAACATAACAAAGAAAATATAAAAACATAAAAAGAAAAAATTAATAGACTAATAGTCATGTATTTGTCACAAAATATAAAAAAGAAAATAAAGCTGTGAATGATTAGAGCAAGACACTATCAAAATATTCAAATTATTCTTCATAATTTCCGATAAAAATGTGGCATTAGATAAAAAACTACACTTTAATCAGTTGACTGTCGGTTCCAGAACTGGGCAATCGGTTCTTTCTAATTCGATATGAAACCAGTTTTCAACTCAATAGAACCGATTGAGCCGATCAGTTTGATCCAAAAATTTTAAAGGTTCGATATGATTGGAATGAGATGTGCATGTGAATCATTAGTACCTCGTTGGTGCGGCCATCAAAAACCCAGACGATGAGATAACAGAGACCGTGTGCAGAGAAGAGCAGCATGACTAAATGGCCCAGCCATACATGATACCTGATACTGCTCTCCGAAGTCAATCCAACCAGCGGCAGAAGAGAGGAGCTGCGAGCCACCGGGAAGAACAGGAATGC